TGGCAGCGAGGTCCTCAGGACGTAGATGGATTGCCTTACAGGGCTAATGAGCTCCATCTGCCCGGGGAGTGTCCTAACCAGGAATCGAACCCAGATCTCAGCGTTGACAACGCTGTGGTTTAGCCACTGCACCACCAGGGACACTCATTTCTGAATATTGATGTAGCCAAAATACCCCTCTCGTTAACCACAATAAGGACACTTGCTTGAAGTGTTCAAGTCTGAAAAGATAAACTTTGCCATTTTTACTGCAGAACTGAGTTGTGTCTGTGCTTCTTGCCCCGTATTTTAAGACTTGCTTGTGTGGTAATTCATGCCTCTCCAACTTTCTTATGAAATAATGTCACATTATCTATTTTTCTAGCCTAGCTGCAAAACCCCACTGTTTGAGTGAACACCTGGGAGCAGCTGAGGAATTAAGATTAAATTTTTATTTCTTTAGAGCGTATGGAGAGTGGAAGACTGATTTGATATGTGCATTTAACTTGCAAGTAGGAGAATGATTTCTGGTTATCATTAAGAAAAGTTAGAAAGCAGCTGGGAGAAAAGAACTGAAGCCCATGAGCTCTGTCTTTTCCCCCTCCCCTTTCTTGTTTTTCTTTTTCTCCTTTATATGCTCTCAGGATGCACCAGAAGAACAGCTCCTGAATTTGTCCATCATATACACCATTGGATATGCTCTTTCCTTCTCTGCCCTTGTAATAGCAACTGCCATTCTTCTTGGATTCAGGTAACTGGCGAAGCTTTGAAGAGAGTGGAATAAAGGTTCTATGTTTTTCTGTATGAATGTGTCAGACTTTGACAGAAACTTTTGATTATTTTTTCTTTCCTTCCATCACCTCATCATTTCTCTATCTTTTGTCAATTCTGTGTTCCTTTCTAAAATAATTTCTTCTCAAAATGCAAGTAAAACTGCCGAATTTTTGCAGTTTCCTGTATGAATATGTGGAACAGATACTTTCTGTCAATTGGAATATTTTGTTGTGACAATTTTTATTTCAATGAAATTTCCACTGGAAGAGGTGGTAAAAGAGAGAGATGCCAGCATTCCTTCATGGTGTCACCTTGCAGATGAGGCACAAGTCTGACATGGGCAAAGACATTTAGGAGAGAAATTTTCGTCTTGCCTTGCTTGGAGTTACACAGAGCATAAATCTCAGTCTGGCCGATTTCCCAGCCCTCACGTGCAAGGTGTGCAGACAGGGATTTTTCAAACAATTTTTCTCTTTGGAGAACTTTTAGAAATTCTTACTTCTTTTGCAATGTAAAAGAGAACCTAATTTTGAAACTTGAAAAGTTTATGTGAAATAAATTGCTGTCACCTGGCCATATGGATGAGTTCATCCAGGTTTGCACCTACAAATTCTGTGGAGTGCATTGAGAGACTCTTGGTTGCACATGCCCATGATACGCTGTGTATGTTTGGTTAAAAAAATCAAAAAAAAAACCCAAACAAACCAAAACACAACTTTGGACTCCAAGAGAGATCTCTTTGTTTCCTCTGTAAATGCAAGAGATATCTTGATTCCAGCCAGACTGTCCTGTGGCTTGGGGATGCTGAGCATAGGAGACTGATATTTAGAAAACACAAAGATGTTATCCTGCTCTGTTGCGGGAATGAAGTCCCTCTGCCACAAAACCCTGTTCCTTGCTGCTGTACATAACCAGGTCCTGTCTTACATGCTGATGAGGCTGCTTCTCCTAAAAGGTAGAGTTTTCCATCTCCTGCTACTCTTATTTGAAATCAGGTCAGGAACCTTCAGTGCTCTGATCCTTAAGAAACTTTCTTTTCTGACTAAAAAGTTACCATTTCCCGTTATTGATCATTTGCTGTGGTGTCTGCACTCTACATTTAGGAAGGCACTCCCTTTCCTTTTCTCCCTCCTGTGTGTTTATACCCCTTATGTATTTAAAAAGGTCACTCATGCCTTTTAACTTCTAATTTCCAAAACTGAAATGATGCAAGCCTTCTAATATTGTACCTTTTAGCACTGTGTTATCCATCCTTCTTGCAGTGGAGAAGCATAGGCAAGCAATCTCAAGGAAGTTTTAAAGGGACTGCGGAAATGCAGAGACACGCTCACCCACTGTGAATGCCATGTGATAATTATGAATTGTACGTTTCTACCTGTGCAACTTTGGGACCCATCTGACAAAACACCAGATGGTCTTCAAGTCTCCAAATGTCTCCCAGGATGAGTGTTTTCTCCTCATTTCACCTATCAATGACACTTTTTGAGTAATCTTAGCAGCCCAAATGTAAAGGTCACAGAGCACAACCATATACTTTTTGAAGGAAGGAAGAAAGGATGTGCATGTTTTCTGGCAGGGAACAAAGAGCAAGTTTGTCACCAAGGACTGGTAGGAGAGAGGGAATTTTGATGCCCTGACTTTTGTGAGGCCATGCTTTAGCAATTTTTCCTTCAGCTGTGATGCAGGGACTGGAGAAGTGTACAAGAGTGTGTGATTCTTATTCTGGAAATGAGGTTCCAGAGATGTTAAAAGGGCCAAGAGTCTTGTTAAAACTATGCCATCAATCCATTTTGTGCTTCCCTGTCTAAATTGTCTATCAGGAGACAGTTTGGTCCTGAATCTCATGAAATACATGAGACCTACTCCTATGCAAATTATTCTGACTGGAATTTCTGCCTGTGGCCTCTCCCTGGAGCTGTGCAGCCTCAAGAAATGGGAATTGAAATCTAGTTCAATGACACTTGAATGCTGATGGGCCTTTTTAAGTTCTTAGATTACAAAATAACCTTCATAATTGTCTTTAATGAGGATATAGCAGAAGAAACTATTTCTTTAGAGTCCTATTTTGCATCTTCCAAAAGAAATGGAAGAAAAATCTGTAATTTCAGTGGTATAAGCTGAATTAGGCCCATAACGTCATGACTGAAACAATTTGAATAACTTGCGTTGCCTGTAGCAGAAATACTCAGTAACTATTTGCAACCTATTTTCTTCAATTGCCTATTTTACATAATTTTTTCAAGCAGATTGAAATGTGTAGCAGTTCTGAAGGGTAGCAACAAATGAATTTTGAGTTAAAGGAAAATAAATATTTATAATAGGTAAGTTTTGAAATAAGGTGCAACTTAAAAGTGATTAAAAAATTCCATTACAACTATGAAAAAAATTATTCTTCTTCTTCAGTTCAAAGCCTCTAACTTTCAGACCTAGTCAATTTTTTTACCAAAATTTATAGAGCTGTAAAAAACAGACATTTAAAGTGTAAGTTCACCGAAACTCTTGCTTGAATAATTGCTGATTACCATATGTTTACCCTATCTTTTAGCATTTAAAAAGAGTTTTACCCAGTATAACTTCCTTTGAGCCAAATTGTGTACCCTTGCAGAGCTGGAAGAAAAATGTTTGTGGATAAGGCTGCTAAAACAGCACTCTGCAGTTGGATGCCATTTGCATGACTGCAGTTTCTTTTGCTATCCCTTAATATGCTCTTTTTTGACAAGTAGCAGTTTTATTGTCTTTGCAGCTGACTGCTGAAATTCAAGAGGATTTTTTTCTTTGGTTTTTGTTTGTTTGTTTGTTTTCCATTCTGAAAGCAGAGGTGAAAAGTCTGTTCCTTTTACTTCTACCGAGAATATTTACAATTCCCCCAGGAAGCAATTTGAATGCAGATTTTTCTCTTGTTGTCAAAGTTGTAATTTACAGGTGGATGTTTTTTCATTGTGGGTTTGAGCACAGCCAGAAGCTGCACTGCACCAGTTCCTGAGCTTTGCCAAAGTAAACCTGTGCAGTGACATTGGGGTCAATTTGAAGCAATTAGCTTCAGCATTATGTGAAACTTGACTTTTTTAGTCCTTTCAGATATGTCTTCTGAAAATGACTTAATTGTTACACTTTTTAATCTTTTAAATTTTTTTCCTTAACACATTGGTCTCCTTTCTTTCCCCAAATATTCAGTCTTAGGCCTGAAGTTTCGAATATCTTTTCCTTGCTAGTGATTTCTTCCCAAAGACAGTTTGAAATCCCTACAGTGATTCTCAAGTTATGGGATTTCCTCTGGTACCTTCTGATTCCCTACAGGGCTTGTTATTCCTTCCTATGTGTGATGTTGCAGCTTTTACATAGGTAGTGGATCATGACTAGTTTGGGTTTTTTACAGGCATCTGCATTGCACGAGGAATTACATTCACCTGAACCTCTTCACCTCTTTCATCCTCCGGGCTATATCTGTTTTCATTAAAGATTCAGTGGTGAAGTGGATGTACAGCACAGCCACACAAGAGCACCAGTGGGAAGGACTTATTGCCTTCCAGGTAAGGCCAGACACTGTGGTGGTTCTTAGGATACTGAAGTCATCACTGTGTGTGTCTGCATGAGATCAGATAATTTAATTCTTTAGTTGATGGTGTGGCATGTTTGTCTACCTGTGAGAAGTTTGCCCCCAATGGACAGAGGAAACATGAAGAAATTGCTTTTTATATATATATATATTTATATATATGTATATGTACAAATGCCCATATCTTCTTCTCATGCTGCAGGTTCATTTCTTTCTAGCAGTGACAAGAGGGCTTTGAGCTCCCTAAGCCAGCACCTTTTGTGATAGGACTGTCTGCCTTGTATAATGACCAAATTAACTGGTTGTTCTTAGAGGTCCTTAGTCTCTTGATGACAGGAGAAAAATGTAAGCATCTGATTAAAATGCAAATTTGAAAGTATTTAGAAAAGCTTCAGAGGAACAGGATAATTAAATACTTCTAACTGATGGGAGAGGATATACACCTTTTTTTGTACACACGATGTAAGTGTCCATTCGCAATTGAATTTGGAATACAAAATGTACTTGAATCCTAAAAGAAAGGTATTTTTATTATCTGTATAGTTCTTGTGGTTCTAAAACATGGGTACAGCATTTACTGCTGCTATATAGGGTTGGGGTTGTAAAGGCTAAGTCTTCTGATGCATCCTTAGTACCCATCCTTTTCTAACACTGCCTAAGGCTTAAGCGCTTATACCACATAGTGAACCTTCTATGATGGTTGTTTTTTTTTCTCATCTGCAGTGTGTCAATTGCCAGAAAATAACATTGTAATACACATCTCAAATGGTTTGGAAATGTTCATATTGGATTGCCAGTAATTTCCTCTTCCAAAAAGCCTAGGCTTTATTCTTGTACAGACTGCTTATTCAATAGTGGTTTCATCAGATCTGATGGATATTTTAATTAAGTAATCAGGTTTCATGCTTAACTAAGGCCCTGCTGACCATCTCTGTAATTTGCCAACTATGAGAGATTTTGCTCTTAAATGTGGTGCACTGGGCAATATTGCTATTCTGTTAAAAAATCCCTGCTTTGGGAAATAGTCAACAGTATGGCATCCACGGTTTGCTCTTTAATAGAGAAATTCTCAACTGCAGATTAGAGTATCTGGGGAAATGTAAAGATTCACTGACAGCATTTGATATAGTACCTTTCACTTGTTCTTTTTATCTTTGTGTCATGCTTTTCAAGATGTAATCTGTTGCTTATTGAGATACAATCTATTGCTTATTATTCTAAATGCAGAATGTGTACTTTTTGGTTTTTAAAGGAGGAATGTTGTTAAAAGCATCTGTCTGCTGCGTATAGCACCCATTACTGGCTTCTGTCCCTTCAGTACTCAAACGTGATTAGTTTAGCAGGCATTTTTTTGTGGATTAGAAGTAGGAGAGAGAACCAGTTTTTTATGTTAGTATCTACTCTTGGCCCCTGTTGCATTCATCTGGGCTGTGCTTTCTTCTCTCACAGGAATCGCTCAGCTGCCGGTTGGTCTTTGTGATGATGCAGTATTGTGTGGCTGCAAACTACTACTGGTTGCTGGTGGAAGGCATGTACCTTTACACGCTGCTGGTACTTTCAGTCTTCTCTGAGCAAAGGATTTTTCGGCTTTACCTCTGCATTGGCTGGGGTAAGTTGATTTGTCTGCTTGTGGCTGCACTGGCAGATGGTATAACGGGGAAAACTGTGTGTCTACCCTCGTGCTGCCCAGTTCAAGTCCTGCACTCCGCATTCCCTTTTTGTTCCCAATCCCTTACCTTTTTTGAGCTGGAGGGTGCTGGGCTGTCACAGCTCCTGGATGCTCACGGAGTAGAAGCTGTGGGTTCATAACGCAGGGGCTGTGTGACACCACAGAAACTCCACAGACCAGTGGCAGGCACATGGCACTTTTTCTGCAAGTCATCAGCTTCCCAGTACAAATTACATGTCAGTGGTTCCACGTGGGTGTGGACTTTTCTGAACTGCTCTGTTTCATCTCCTGAAAATTTTTCATTGCATTTAAAGATGTATTAACTACTTGTGGTGCAAAATAGCAATGATGCCTTGCATCTGGGTGAGGATAACAGTAGAGAAATGGTGGCAGCGTTAGCAGGGGGATGCAAAGGGGCCAGTGAACAAGGAGCTGCTGGCAGTGAATTGTCAGGTTGATTAAGTGGGCAGAGCAGGTCCAATTGGGATTTTTGGGGAAAAAAAAGGTCAGGATGTATGTGCCATGGGCATGTGTGTGCTTGAAATCAAGGATTGTGATGCCTTGAAATCAGTTGGTTGAGCAAGGGCCACCTTGTGTAGAAATGCTAAAGCTTTGATTCTTTCACTTTCCAATTCACCTGAAAATACATTAGAGTTCAGGATTCATCCTATTTTTGGAATGATCATTTATGGGTTTTTATTGCATTTTCTCCCTCTTCTCTACCCTCCCCTTTTGGTGGAATCATGCCACTTTTGGAAAGCTGAGAGTAAATCCAAGTAAATACTGCAAGTGCTTTCACAGAAGCTAGTCTGAGCATTTAAATTGCTTTGCCTCTTCTTTTCTCTCCATAGATCTCAACTGTGAATATTTTAACAAATTAGTTCCCGGGTAAAATGCGTATAAATGGGTTATTGTGAATTACCCCATTCTACTGAACAGTGATATATGAGGAACAAAGGCTTTCTGGCATACTGATGGGAATAAATAAATGCAAATAATAGCGGTTTCCTGCTGGAAAGTTTTAGTTGAAATTCTGTATCTTCCATATTCTTTTATTTAGGGCATGCAGCGAAAGCAACACCATTTCGTATAACATTTGAACTATATATGTTTTAATCATACCCTCAATTTAATTAAAAGAAAAGGCGGGGGGAGCTATCCTGAAGCACTGACTGAGGTCATGAAAGGAAATGGAAAAGAAATTAGAACTAAATTATATCTAGTCAAATCCCGAGGGGATTATGGTGTTCTATAAGAAAGGGATAGGCTGGTTTTGGTCTGAATCACTTCTATTTGGAGTTTGTCTCCTGCAAAAGCAGAAGACAGAAACAGAAGATGTTATTTTGGTTTTTTTCTTCCTTTACAATGGCAGTTTTGCTACTGTATATTGAATTTCTGGATGAGTTTGTGGAAATGAGCAGCAGGGTCAGAACTTGGCACTGGATATATGGGCTTCATCCAAGCTTCCCAGAAAGGTCTGTCCATGCCATTCAATCCTCATCTGTACAGTTTCTTGCTATTCCAGATGTGTCTGCATGTGCAAACCTTGCCAATAATTCTCTACCTTTAAATGCAGAAGCATCTGCTGATTCAGTGCTCCTGGATTAGTTATACCAGATAACAGTTTCACCTCTAACCAAGGGAAAGATACAAAGATTTTTCCCCCCTCTTTCTGCTTCTTCACTGGTGATTCCATTTTTTGGGTGGTCAAGTCCCTCACTGGGTGACTTTCTACTGTATGCAATGCTCAGAAGTTTTTTATTCAGTTTTTTTTTTTTTAGCAGCATGATAGACTCAGCATAATGCTGAGGCTTCAGAGAGATAATAAGTTCCTGTTTGAGCTAAGAGTGTCCTGCTCTTTTAAATAGTTTATCAATTATAAAATAAAGCCAGAACAAAAAAAATATTTATGAGATTGTCAGAGCTGATTTGATACCCCAATCCTTTGTCCAACTAATGAATTGTCCTCTTACAGGGTAATTTTTTTAACCTGTTCATTAGTCATCATTTGATACATATTTATGTATAAAAATTTCATATGTGTATTGTTTAAAAACACCGTGGGTGTTAGTCACTTCATGTTGTTATTTCTTCTAATTATAACTGTGATCACTCTCAGACCACACCAAAATCTGTTCTCCTGAAGTGCAGAGTACTGGGGTTGGTGTGCACCCTTCTTACTTCCTTCAAGGGATCTTGAATTTCACCATTTTATGGTCACTGCAGCCAAGGCTGCCCTTGAGCCTCACATTCCCCACCTGCTCCTCCTTGTTGGTGAGAACAAGGTCCAGCATAGCACCTTTCCTCATCGGCTCCTTTGTCACTTGGAGAAGGAAATTATCACCAAGGCATACCAGGAACCTCCTGGATTGCTTTTGTGCCCTGGTGTGTTTTCCCTCCAACAGATATGGGAGTGGCTGAAGTCCCCTGTGAGGACCAGGGCTTGTGAATGTGAGGCTGCTCCTGTCTGTCTATAGAGGACCTCATCTGCTTGGACTTCCAGGTTGGTGGCTGGCAGCAGACCCCCACTGTGTCACCTGTCTATGCCCTGCCTTTCATCCTGACTCATAAGACGCCGGTCAGGTCCTTATCCATCCCCCAGTGGAGCTCCATACACTCCAGCTCTCACTGACATAGATGGCAACATACCCTCCTGCCTGGACTTCCTTAGGAGCCTGTGTCCTTCTGTTCCAACACTCCAGTCAGGAGCCATCCCACCATGGCTCTGTGATGGCAGTAAGATCATAGCCCTGCAGGTGTGCACACATCTCTGATTCCTCCTGTTCATGCCTCATGCTATGTGTGTTTGCATACAGGCATTTCAGTTGTGTCCCTGATGACTCGGAGTTAATGTCTGGAGTGGCTGATGTTTCTTCATGCTGCTTTTCAGCTACTTTTCTGCTGACCAGTAATCCCTCCAGGCTCTGGGCCTCATCATCTATTGCTGGCACTGGCATCAAATTGGTAGGAGTAGGATGGATTGAGGATCCCCTTCCCCAGCAACTTTAGTTTAAAGTCCTCTTCACCAGCTTGGCAAGCCTATGACTTAGATTCTCTTTCCCTTCTCTATCCAATGGACACCATCAGTCCACAGTAGACCGGTTGTTCCAAGATATTCCAAATATATTTTTGCTATATGATCTTTTCAGTAAATTCTAAGTCAGTTATTAGGCAGTAGTCCATTTATTATCAGTTCAAATGAGTAATTATTCTTTGCTGTTGAAGTGTTCACAAAGGGATAAGTCTGTTTATCTTGTGTTATTGTACTTTGCAAAACCTAGAAAAGTTATAAAATCTTGATAGTCTTCTGGAAACTAATGCAGTTTTATAAATTGGGAGTCATTTATATCAACATCATGTGTATTGATAGGATTCTATAAACTTTCCCTATTACTTGTGAGGTAACTGTATTCCTAATGGCCACTTCCTTGCTGAGATTTTGTGCCATACTAGGCTTTGAGATGGCATTTGAAAAAAATGAAATTTATCCTATTTGATTTAATGTGGAATATGTCTTGCTTATGCCTTCTATTTCTCTGTATAAGCTGACTTTCATACATTTGTGTCAACCTTAATTTCCACATATCTTACTGCAAAAACAATGGTTTATGCCATTTTCAAGGCTGATGGAGGTAAAAAAAGGCAGAAACACTAACAGCATCAAACCCCAAAATTTTTGATAGACTAGTAGAAGAGCAGGTAGACGAGTTATTTCCTTCAGTCTGGGGGTCAGCACCACAGCAGCTAAAACGGATGTTGATTTACATAGTCATTATCACTTGCAGAAAAAAAGATCTGTTACTATACACTGCTGGTACCTGGTGCTTCCTTCCTGTGGCATAAGAGAAATCCTTGCCCATGGATCTCACCTTCTAGAGAGAATAAAAAACATCTGTAGAAGAGGGAAGGGAAAAACTCAACCTAACTACGGAGACCAAGATGTTTACTTTTTGTTTTGTTTGTTTCTTGGGATGTGCACAATGCTCTGAATCAGGTTGTCCAGGACACCAACATGGTGTTCACAGCATCCGAGCCCAAGGGAATAGCTGCCAAGCCTGGCGTTGACTTCAAACTAACAGTAGTCTCTGGAGAAGAGCAGTTTATACTGTAATGCTGCTGTATCAGAAGCTTTTAGTGGGAAAAGGACCTGTTCACATTTAGGAGTAGGGAGGAGGGAAGAATGGGGAAAAATAGAAATATCACATAGTGACTGTGTGTGACATCCAGACAGGAAGAACAACAGGAGACCATTTTCAGCACTAAAGGTTAAGAAGAAAATGCTAATAAAAAGCTAAATATTCTCTGAGCTTCTATGGCAATTTTACACCCAGCTGCTCTTGCATCAGGGAAGTTGCCATAAAAAATAAATAATCCATTTCCTTCCAAGCCTTGGCAATCCAAACTTGCTCTAAGGAAGAATACTTTAAGGGAATGAAGCTGTCAAAAGCAGGAAGCCTCTCTAGGGCATCAAAATCTACATTCTGATTGCAAGGAAGATCCTACTGGAACTGAGGCAGTAAGAAACCTTCTTTCAGAAGGCCAGTATGAACTCAATGTAGCAACAGGATGCATTCATTGCACTGACCACTTCTCTTCTGTATTCAAATGAAAATGGTGTTTCAAACGAGGATATGAAAATAGGTTTTGTATCCAGACTGATCTTGGTAGGAAATGCATGTCAGAAGTTCCTCTTAATTCTCTTCACTCTTTGTCTTCTAGAATAAAGCCTTCCATTCTTTTCATTTCTTAGAAGTAAAAAATGTTTCATCTTTTCTTCTCACATCATCAGTGCTTTTACTCCTTCTACATCTACTCATATTTATTTATCAGTTCTTTCGGTTCCTCATCTCAACGTTCATGCATTCACACATCAAGCAGTTGATTCAAGTCAGAGCATCCCGGATGCTTTCTGAGAGAAAGAGGACTGAAATTGTTCTGGCAGCAGTAGTGTCCTTCTGGTTTGTGTGCCTAATTGTCTTGGAGGTTGAACTTAGCACACATGGAAACCAGTGATGTCAGGTTACAGATTAAATACAGTCTTAAAATGCTATATTCAGAATATGTCCTCGTTTAAGGGTCTTAGCAGGATGGCAGTGCTCTGGTCCTACAGGTTCACTTCAGGAAGAATCTCTAATCAGCACATGAGGATGAGGGGAGCCTCTCTTGCTCCTAATGTATCTTTCCTGAATTTGCCTTTATGGGAAGTGTATACAGGGCAAAGCTACAAATACAGTGTGTCTGTAAGAATGAAAACTTGCTTGCACGTGGAGGTAAGGGAAAGAAGATGGCATGGAATAGCACCACCTGGTGACACCTTTCATGGTAACTGGGACTTTGTGCATTCCAGAACAAACCTGAGCTTTTCTGTTCCGTTACCAAAATATCTTAGACCCATTAAATGAAGAGATCGATTACTACATGCTGCCATCAGGACATGGTAACTTCCATTAGCAGCTCCACGAATTTCTTGCCCCTCTGCTAATTCAGGACAGTGGAGCATTCTGAAAATGTCAACCTGTGCAGATTTTCTTACAGTTTTCTTTTCCTACCTGCCCCATCCTTTTGTCATTCTGGAAAATGCCTGGTTTTCCAACTTTTTTTTCTTACTATGCAGACACCTGACCAGGTGTAGAATATATAAGCTAGAGTGAAACTAAAAGAGTTCAGCTGCTTATTTGTGCGGTGGGGTGTTAAGGTGTTGATTTGGCAGTTCCATTACTTTCTCATCATCCATAATATATATTATTATTGCAGCCTATAATTCAGATGCCCAGTCATTTGAAGTTGAACTGTATTAGCTGAACTGTCAGCAGGCTTATTTCCTAGTACACTTGACAGATTTCATAATCACCATGTAGTATTCAAAGATTTTGGGTCAGCTATCAGCCTGCAACAATTAACATCGCAGAAGCAATTATGAGCAGGCTGTTGTAATTTCTGGCATCTTCAACAGTGATGCAGTACAGAAAAAAGTAGACATTGACCATTTCCAGAATTCGAGACCTGTCTCTGGTCAGTTAATCTAGGAAAAGATCATTCTCAGAGCTTTCTGTGTGATAAAAAGCAAAACCAGAAGGAGTTCAGCCTATATCTTTATTAAGTGCATCCTATAAATGAGTACAATTTTTTTTCTTGGATATCTGATATTCTCTGAATAGCAGCAGCAAGAGGAAGAAGTGTAGGACTGAAACTCAAATGCCCCAAAAGGCGTGAGTGTTGGGAGCCCAGTGGAATACACCACTGATTCTGTTAATGAAATATAGTCATCTGTAGTATTTATTCAAAGAGTTGTATGCAGTTTACTTCCACTCCCTGTTCAAACCAGACAGAAGTCTCTTGATTGAGTGAAGTAACCAGAATAATATGTGAGCTTGTGCCAGTTAATGCAGGGTAATTAGGTGTCGAAATTGTTAATTAATCTTTGGAGAGTCTCAGTGATCCTTGAATAGTACAGCTATTGCAGAGATGCTTTAAACTTTGCCCTCTTGCTGTTATGAAAGACTTCTACAGGCTTGAAGTGAATTAGGGAATATTTTTGAGTCAGTCTTCTCTTTAGATCTTCACAAGGGCTTTGTAAAACTGGATGCATTCCCATCTGCTGAGAGTGTGTCCCAGGTGGTTTTCAGAGCCACCCATTTCTCAAGACAAGGCTTTGTGAATTTGGTAGATGTCAAGGGGTATCCAGAAGATGGAGATATCCACAAATCACTTGATGTGTCAAATGATATATCCACTGACATACAGCCTTTGTGCTCTCTGTGTTTGTGTCTTATCCTGTAACTTTCACATTAAGATGTCTTAATTCTCAGCAAAGTCAAGAAAGGAATAATTCAAACTATAATTCATTTCTGTGAATCAAAGGCTTATTTGGTTTGGAAGTGATTTGCAATGAACCTGTTCTTAGTCCCTTTATGCCACTATGAAAACAGCACAGAGTTCTTAGAAACTTTGCTCCCATAATATTGTGTATTCTCAGTGTCAGGTATATTCATGGAACATGTTCAACCACTTGCCCAAATAATCTCTACTCAACTCATTATCTTTGCTATTATTCTAATTATTAGTAATTTTTTTTTCTTGCTGCTCTTTATTCTCTCCATTTTTAACTGATTAAGGGGAATACTTTTCTTCTGTGTCTGTAGTATTTAGCTGTTCTGAGAATAGAGATAGTCTAGAGTGCAAGAGAGAAGGGTTTTTTACTTATAATACCCACTACAGATAACAGCTTGAGATATTCAGACTGCAGGTGATGACCAATTTCTCTGTGGCTTTTGTTGCCAGGAACTGTGTGTTTGCCCTGTGCAGCACTTACTGCTGTACCCCGATTTTTTAAGAATGCAATTACAAAGTACAGTAAATGTTGCCCTTTCCATACAATGTACACGCAGCATGAAATACTGACCAAGGAGGTACTCAGTGGAATTAGACCATCTTGATCCATCCCTAGGCAGAAATACCTCATCCTGCTCTTTCAGTCTCAACCTGCTTTCCTTCCTTGTGTGCTTTTTTTTGGCATTCCCTGTTCTGAGTATTGGTTGGTAGATGCACTTTTAAATTATTTTTCATGACATAGGCATTTCATAAATGGAAGATATTCATTTGAGAGCCTTTGACACTATAAAGCAGGTAATGTCTGCCAGCTTGTTGGGCTTGTCTCTCTTCCCTTTACACCCCAGATAAATTGACCAACTGTGGCACATGCACTGTCAGAGGTAAGGGTAGGGCCAAGCCTCTTCTCAAAGCAAGGTGCTGTCTTTGCTGCAGCCACTCAAGCCCAATCCAGTCCTGCAGCCCAAACTTGGGACTTCTCTGTGGGGAAGGCCCGAGCAAACTTGCTAGGTGTGCCCACACTCCTTCTGCTGTTGGGGATATGTGGGCTGGGGTGTGCTCCAGCCCTGATGCCAATAGATAGCCTGAGCTTGGTGCTGCCTGAATGCAGGGTAGGTGACCCACAGGCAGAAATTTGGAGGCAAAGGTCAGGGTCAGAGCACACTCCTCTCTCATGTGAGTACAGAGGCTACTAGAGCTTCCAAAGCTGATTCCCTTGGCCACTCCGGGAAACTCTTCTGTTCCGTAGAAGAGGTGATATGTGCCAAGTATGGGGGCAGTTCTGTTGTTGTTCATTTTTCATGCCTATTGGGCACTAGGAGAAAGACCAGGAAAAAATGAGTTGTATCTATTAGTTACTTGTAGGTTAAATACCTCCTCCCACTGTTGATGGCCATCTGTGCCGGATAGGAGCTGCAACCCTGCCACCAGTTAATCATGTTGCTCTTCATTATGGTGTTTGTATGGGGGGGGGTGGTGGTGTTGTCCTCCTCTCTGCTTTTCCCATTCTCAGTGTCAGTGTCAACCTTGTCTCCTCTCTTCCCAGGTGTGCCAATGCTGTTTGTTATCCTCTGGGGAACTGTCAAGTACCTTTATGAAGATGAAGGGTTGGTTTAGTTCTGATTTTTTCTAGCTATCTCATTTGTGCTGTATGTGTGCACCAGCAGGTCATTGTTTGCTTTCTGTTCGGTGTGGTTTGCTTTGGCAATGTGCTGAAACCTCACATAATTGCTTCTGTTTTGTCTGAAAGTCTTGCATAACATTTCAGAAAGGAGCATATGTTCTTTTCTGATGAAAATTTTCTGCATGTCTGAATGAATCTATCCTTTTGCAGGTCAAGGAAAGGTATGTTTTGTTTTTCTGTAGTTACAGTATCAACAGTAGAAGTCATCATACCAACCAAGACCACTCCTGATGCTGTGCCTTTGGCAGTAGCCTTTACAGTTATGGTTCAGAGGGAGGCAACAACCTCCCACAGGATTCTGCCTGCGATTTGTAGTGGTTAGCTTATGCCTAGCAGCAGGGTTGTGATTGCCTGCTCTTATTTAAGCTTCCATTACTTAGATTTTCTTAAAACAAATGCACATTCTCTGTCTGCTTACGTTAGTTTGCTGAAGTCAACTATGTCATGCAGAAGACTGCTGTAAAACACAGAATACTTTTCATCTGTTTTTACCATAATGGCTGTTCTGAAAAAATTACCTTTTTATATGCTTTATGTACCAAATTGCATTGTAGGCATTTGTAGCATTTGCTGAGGTTTTTAAAAGTAAAAATTTTTAAAAAAAGGGAGGAAAGTGGTTTCCTCTTTTTAGTGGCAGTGGCTGCCTGGAAATATTTGGATAGCTGTCTTTATGATGAAATAATTAAATGTATGCTATTTCATTTTTATTATAAATTTACTATTTAATGGGTTTTTTTCTTACTTAGTTTCCAAACTACGTAAGCAAACTTTTGTAGAAGGTCCTTTTTTTTCCCCTTTTTTTTAATTTTTCTTTTTTTTTTCCTTTTCCTTTTTTTCTTCCTTTTTTTTCTTCTTATTTCCCCCCAGACATAATCCTTGCTGGAGGGATGATGCAGTGTGAAAATTCAATGTACTCAGACCCACCCCCAGACTGTTTTGTGGTGTTTGTTAGTATTAAGAACCAGCTCTTTTTTTAGTGTTCTTCATAGTACTGAACCAGTGCAATCAAAGCTGCCTTTTCTGGCTTAAGCAATGTTAGGATTTTCTGACTTTCCTTTTCAAGGTTGACTTGACATTATTCTGTGGCTGTACTGATGTATTGCAAGTTTTGTGGAAATTATCAGAATAGGTATAGAGACCATGCAGCCTCTGAGCAGGCAGCATTCCATGGACATATCTTGCCATTGATGTAGAAAATGTATTCAAAGTGCCCATACTGAGCCTCCTACATTATGCGGTGCTCAGAGCTGATTTATGCTTTCTATTAGGGAAAACTGTCACTCACTGCCCTCAGCGGACCTTAAAAGGGGCAATCTTGCACCTTATTGAATTTTCTAAATCTTGTCTAAATATTTGTAAAATACAGCAATAAATAACCATGTGCAGCAGCTGCTCTGAAAGGCAGGATTTCTGTGCCTTGGGCAGGCATTTGTTGGAGCAGCCAGGGATATCCTTCATGCTGTTTGCCATAGCGCTGTCACTGTGGATGTGCAGCAGGCTGTAAATTTCATTTGTGATTTAACTATTTGCCTGGCTATGAAGAGTAACTGGAAGTAAATGTAGTCAGGGCTGGGAATTTGAGGCAGTCTTGTGAACGTAGCCGTTTGAATGAAGGACCAAAGTCTTCAAGACTTACTTGCACACTGGCTTCTTCTTTCCTTACATGTGCAGCTATAAACTCCTCTAGAAAGCAATTAATGTTTTAAAAGTGAGCTATTGAAAAATACTTTGTCTAGTTCAGAAATAAAATTAAAAGCAAGCTGCTGTTCTTAGTTATTAGACTGTGCCTAAAAAGCTGATACTTACACATTTTTGTTCCCGTCTGCAATAAAGTATGAGAGGAAAACAGCCAGCCTACAATCCCGTTTTAAAAATGGAGCCATTCAGCTCTAACTCTTCAAGGTAAAAATTTAATGTTTTCACTTTTAGAAAAAGACTACAGGATTGGTAAGCAAAAGCAGAAACTTCCCAGTAGCATTTGTTTCACTGGACAAATTCTCCACTCATGGCTCTGAGGCTATTAGTTGCCAAGCATCTTCTGAGTGGTGCTGAGCAAACTCCAGGGATAGATCCCAAACACAGTAGATGTTGGTGCATTTACCAGTGTGACAATCACAGAAAGAACAAATGGACAAGAAATCATGGACAGATATACCAGTTTTATTTTCTGGACACTTTAATAGCCATGACACTATAATTGACCTGTAGTGGTGTTTTTATTGCACACATTTGTATAACTTTAAAAGTAGCTGAAACTGCTATGTGCCACAGGAAGCAAATTAACTCACACAGAAATGTAGCAAAGTTAATGTAAAGAATTGTTTCTCAGTGTCTGTTATTATAAAGAAATTTTTAAATTGCCTTTGCATCTATTGCAGCTAGTGAGAAAATTAGAACTCCCACTTCCAGACATGCCTATTATCCCATCGATTTTGAGAGGTTCAAATAAAATTAATTTCAAAGGCTCCATGAAGCTGGTTCCCAGTCACACATACCAATTAAGTTCTTCTGTTACTCAGATTCCAGCTCAGGCATGCTGACTTCACACAGTGTGTACACCTGTTTTCTCCAGTATCTAAAATACAATTGAGCTGGAGGTTGTAGAGCAGCTGGTGGCAATAATACACTTGTTATATGCATTAAAGTGAAATTGAAAGAAAAATGAAGTCCTGGGACCTTCTCAGACTTGCATTACCTGCAAGGGAATGTGGAATTTCCACAGCCAAGCTGCTACACTTTCCTCTCTGGTCTGTGAGCAGGTGTGGGTAGCATGGATCCTTCCCACATACTGCATGGTTTGCTCTGTTTTCTTTCCTCTTAGACTGTCCCACTACAAGGCTGGGAGGGTTTAATCTCCATCACCATCACCCAAGCTGAAGTTTCCTAGGTCTGTCAAAAAATCTTAAGGAGAATCGTGCTTATGTATGCTTTGGTGAGAGATGAGACTTGGAGAGGAAGAGAAACTTGTTTTGTGAAGGAAACTATGTTTTCTGGAGTGCTGTTTTCTAGTTTACGTTTCGCAGCCTGTGTAGCGCAGAAACTTGCTGGCTTTACTGGTGACTGTTGCTTTTGAGTAATGCTGAGCAATATGGCAGGAGGCTAACAAAGTTATTTCATAGAAATATTAAGAATGCTGTCATTGCAGCAACAAGTGAGCACTGCCCTAACACATGGGCCATTGAGAACAGATGTGGCCCATCAGACAGTCGGTGGCGGTCACTGGCTGTGGCCAGAGCAGGGCCAAAAAGAACTAGATGTGCAAACCCCTCTGTGTAAGGTTCACTTCAAACCAGCAATCCCAAACTGTGGCTGTCAGGCATCACTTTTCTTGTCATCGTTCTCCAGTATTGCTCAAGGAGACAGGAATCTAAAAAGCTAAAATGAGACTCATGGGGGAAATTAAGTATTATATTGCCTGCAGCATGCTGCTTACTTGGCAGAGGGCTCAAGTCAACAAAAAGTTAGGAACTGGTGCTCCCATCTTTGATTTTACTTGTTTATAATTTTTAAAACTCCCTTTGGGCCAGAAACCCTGTGCATATGCGCTGAAGGAACTAGAGTTTGCTGCCTCAGTTGCTTTCTCCTGGCTGAAATTAGTAGGTTCTTTATGAAAATAAGGACAAATAAATGTAGTGCGGAAAGAGGAGGCTAGGAACCACACAGGAAAGATCTGATTCAAACAGATTCCCCTCTCCCTCGCTTCTCCTTTCAGCCATATGACAAATTTGACCTTGGTTTTAATGGAATAAATCTTCACAATTAATGGATGATAATTCATAGCAAATTATGGAGGAGAGCTAGCCATTAGTGGGCAAGAAAGGCCGGTGAGTAGTATCCAGTTGGATTAGGATAGCTGTAATAGTACAGAGCATTCAGTGTTTCTGAGAAGCAACTGCCTCTGTTTCCATGTCAGCATGATGTGCTTTCCTAGTATCTAGTCCTTAATATTGTTTTCCATCTGTATTGCTGTGGCAGAAAGAAAAGCAGGGGATTTTAGTAATGTACTGAAACTTTTCCATCTTGTCTCCTTTTTGTCGTCTTCCTAGTTGCTGGACCAGAAACTATAACATGAATTACTGGTTGATCATCAGACTGCCCATTCTCATTGCCATTGGGGTGAGTATGAAGCGTGTGCTGCGAGCTGGCAGATTTCCATGAGAACAGGACGTGACATAGTGCAAAGATGCACACATGGCCCTTGTGCACGTCCAAAGGCTAATAACCTTTGAGGCTACTGGCATTTTCATTCAGAAACGTGATTTTATGAAACCAAATTGGTTTCTATCACTGGAATTCCAGACTAGCCTTTTGTTTGTTTAATTTGGCCACATGCTCTCATGTTGTAGTGGCAGGAAATGATAACAAAACAGCATGCTGCAGCAATCCAGTTAATTCCCCAGTGAACAGAAAAATGTGGCAGATAGTACAGGGAGGGTGGAGACAATATTTCAGGTACTGCATTGTGAAAGAGCCACAAAATGTGTGGCATTGTGTAGAAATGCCATGTTCTGCAGCCACAATATTGTGTCAGTCTCAGATCTCCAGACAAGGCAGATGGACCAACCCACACTTCTACTGTGTCTCGCTTCCCAGAGAGTAGGTAGGCTTCCCTGCTTTGTTTATTGAAGTGCCTGTGTTTTCAAAGACGACTTGTGTTGTATTTAGAGCACAACTCCTTAGCAAGGAGTTGAGTTATGTGAAAGATTCTGCAGCTGCAGAGTAGCAGGATGCAGACACCTACCCCATACACAAACCAGCTTTCCTGCATACTTATGCATATGTGTTTATTGATGATGAGGATGATGATATAAATCCTTCTTTCATTTCTCCAGGTAAATTTCCTCATCTTTATCAGAGTTATATGCATCATCATCTCCAAACTGCAGGCTAATTTGATGTGCAAAACTGACATAAAATGCAGGTATGTCTTATGGTGGTCTGGCACTTTTCATGCCCATCAAAACAGAAGTAGACAAGAAGGTACATGACAGGATTGGATTGACAAAGGTGGTTAAAAATCACAGCCTTTGAGTAATGCACAGGTTTGGTGTCACACATTGGTATGGCTGCTTAGTCAATCCCCAGCAAAGCTTCAGTGAAGCCAGGGCAGGTATTATAGCTGTGTTATTGATAAACAGCAGGCTTGATGTCTGTCACTTTACAGTCTTCCATTAGACTGGATGAATATTAATTAAGCAGATATTTTTAAAATACATGCAGCATTTGCAAGTACTAGATGTTAAAGTCGTTGAAAGCATCCAGAGAAGGGCAACAAAACTGGTGCAAGGGTTGATAGGAATGTTGTGTAAGGAGAGGCTGAGAACTTTTTGGCTCATTTAGTTTGGAGGAAAGGGCTCTGAGGGGTGATATCATTGCTTTCTACAGCTCTCTGAGGAGGGAAAGTGGAGAGGGTAGAGCTGAGCTCTTCTCCCTGGTATCCAGTGATAGGACATATAGGAATGGTTTGAAGCTGCACCAGGGGAGGTATAAACTGGACATGAGGAAGCGTTTCTTTACAGCAAGGGTGTTCAAACACTAGAACAGGCTTCCTAGAGAGGTGGTCGATATCCTAAGACTGTCACTGTTTAAGGGGCATTTGGACAGTGCCCTTAATAACATGCTTTACATTTTGAACAGCCCTGAAGTAGTCAGACAGTTGGACAAGTTGGTCATTGTAATTATCAAAATTAAAGAAATAAAAATGGAAAAAAAATTTTAAAAAAGGATAGAAATAAAAGGTTTCACTTTGAGAAAGATAAGACAGGGGTCATTTTCAGTTTTGCTCCTTGTTCTTCATGCCAGTTGTTATTGGGACAAACTTTCAATCTTGAATGCATGAGATGTTTCAAGAGAAATGTCAGGGTTATCACAGAAATGTTTTTGTTTTTCAGGCTTCACCCTATCCATGTCTCTATTCTTCCTGTTATTTAATCACCTTGCTAAGATTCATGGTTGCATCCTTCATTTCTGCATCTTGAAGAATAATTTTGTATTGCAGTCTGAAAAACAATGTAGGAATAACAAGTCAGCTATTGAATTTTCCAGTGTGGAGCTACATGCTGTGGTAGCTGGACTGCTACTGGCACTGGACTTAGAAGGCTGCAGCATTGAAATACTCAATTTCAAAATTGCTAAGCTAGACAAAGCATGTATTTTGGAACATTCTCATCACAGTATAGAGTTGCCTTGTATGTTACCTACCTGCTTTACCTCACATGAAATTTTGGAAATCCTAGTGCATCTTTAGAGCACAAAGCAGAGAAAAGGACTTCTTTTAATGAGCTTTGTTTTCAAACCTCCTTTTTTTTTTTTCTTTTAATTTTTATTTTAATATGTTTGACCTTTATTTGCCAGGATAAAATTTGTGGTGGTGTAAGGGGGGGATTTTCTGGTTTATTTGCCAGGATAAAATTTGTGGTGGTGTAAGGGGGGGATTTTCTGGTCCTTATGGCTTGAACCCATTTAAAAGTCTGACTGTAAATTTACCCTGTATATTTACAAAGGGGGAAAAGCCTTTGCCCTCATGACTTCTGCAGGATGGTTTGATGCAGGTGAGCCATTTCTCAGAGGTGCATTTTGATACATTTCTACATTTTACATGTTCAAAAATCTGCTGTGTAAACAGAAGGGTTTTATCAGGAAAGAGTTTACCCAGAAGAGTTTACCTTCTTCACCGATGAAGCCTATAGATTTGGTGGCCTGTCTGGAGGTCAGTGGTTATAAGTAGAAGTTTTGGAGCAATCTTTTACTTCTCATGATAACAAGACCAGTAATCAGAGATTCCTGTATTGGAATTCTTTTCCCCCTTCTCTTCCAGTGAAAGTCACTGGAAGAGGTGTTGGGCAGAGGAAAGACAGAACTGCTGTGCTGGAATGGGTTATTTTAAGCAAGGGCTAGTCTATGTGGCCTAGAAAGTTAGTAGTTCACATATGTATAGAAGGGAGAAAAGTGTTTTGCCAGTCTGTCTTTCACCTCTCTCCTGTTGCCCACTCATTAAATGACAGCGAGCTCACTGTTCAGTATGGCAGCAAACCCCTTTCCTCTACAGAAGGACTGGAGTTGTGAAAAAAAGGGGATTTTGCTTACCCAGGAATCCTTTTCATAGGACTTTGCATGGCTTCCTTTTTATAGGCAGAGCTCTCCAAGTATTCCATCTAGAGCAATTAACTTTGATTAAATAAGCAAGGGGATTTCTGTACACCTACACAACTCCTTATTTTTACCCAGGTGGTGTCACCAGAGCCAATTCAGCATCAGGCTCCCACTTCTCTGTCTCAGGCAGGTGGTGGTGAAGCACAGCCTCTCTCACAAGGCTTGCTGGTAAGCTGCTTGTTTAAACAAGCCGCTTATCCCCCGAAGCAGTGGTGTGCCTGGGTCTACTAAGAACTACATTTCTGCTTATCTGTATGTGTAAACCTGTTTAATTTCAGTAGCTGCTTTGATTCGTCATCCTTTGGTCCTTGTGTATCAGGGACATTGGCAGGCCAGGGGGTGGGCTGGCAGGAAGCTTGCACTTGCTGTGGGATAACCTCAAGCAGCAGTACAGGATGGACACTTACTGGGGAGAACGCTGCTTTACAGAAGACCCAGGGAAGCTGGGGGAAAACAGGTTGAATGTGGTTCAGCAGTGTGCCCTTGTGGCAGTGTAGGCTGACTGCACACTGAGCTGCACAACCAAGGGCAGAGCCAGAAGGTCAAGGGAAGTGACTGATCCCCTCCCTTTAGCACTTGTGAGACTGCTTCTGGTGTCCACCTTGAGGCTTCCCGGTATAAGAAAAATAATGTGTCCCTTGCCTCCAACCTCATGGGTCTTGCATGAGTTTTGCACCAAACCAGTTCAGCAGCTGGACCAGGTCGCACAGGAGGAAGTGCTGCAAAATGGGTTTATTCAGTCCACAGAACAGAAGAGTAAGTAACGATTTAAGTGCAGTCTTCAGCTAATGCTGGTTATACAGAAAATGGAGCTGGAGAATTTTCAGAGGGTCACGGTGAAAGGACAAGGGTAGAGGTCACAAATTATGGCAAGAGAAATTCCAATTGCATCTCAGATGAAAACAAATTCACAGTCAGAGTGGTCTGACACTGAAGGAGAGGCCAAAGGTGGTGTGGAGGACCTTGGAGATATTCAAAACTTTGCTGGACACAGCCTTGAGTAACCTGCTGTGAATTGGAGTTTGACCAGAGACTTCCAGAGGTTCCTTCCAACCTGAATGATTACATGATTCACAATAGCAGCCAGTAGCCCTCAGGCACACAAGATCTGCTAAGTACTGACAAGCCCTGCTAGATGAGTGATTTCATATCTACTGAATTGTTGTGAGATCTTGATAGGTTCTGTGGCCCAGGAAGCTCCCATGTGATGCTCAGGCATCTTTCATTATCCTGTTGGGTGTTGTCTATCGAAAGAGAGTTAAGGATCATTCTTGTGATTTTTTTTTTTTCCCCGTGGTTGTATCCCTTGAGCAGTGCTTTCTCACATGTGAAAAATGTTTATTTCAGGTTGGTTTGTCTTCTTTCCTTTGCTAGCTGTGTCTTTGAACTTGCTGTTTAAATCATGGAGCCATCACTCACTTTAACGCAGCTTAATTGCCTTGACAAAGTGCTCCACAGTTACAGGTAGTTACAATGAAGATTTAACACACCACAGAGTAGAATAGCAAGTACTCCTCCCTTTGCCAAGATACTTTTAAAATGCTGGAATTATTGATAGATTATTTCTTTCAGGCCATCAACAAAGTAGGTTTTGGTCATCTTTCCCAAATTACAGGTGGAGAAAAAGATACTCAGGAAGACATCACAGGTGCAAGAAAGCACCACATGGCCTACTTCTGAGTTTGGAAGATTTTCCAGGTTAAATACAGCGGGGTACAGAGAGGAGCTCTCACCAAGAAATGGTCTGCAGTGAAGGGGTAGGGGCAGTTAAATCATATGGAAACTTACTAAGGTTATTTTGAGGATTCCTTTTTTTTTCCTGCAGCCTCTGGAGGAGGACCTTGCATCACAAAGTGGTACAGTGACTTACCAAAGTTGACAGTGTGTCAGAAGCAGAATGCAGAAACAGTGATTCCCAATGATCATTTGAATCAACAATGGTCTATTCAGTGGCATTGTATTTTTTCTTTCTCTGTGGTCTTAGGCTGGCCAAGTCTACGTTGACTCTGATCCCGCTGCTGGGGACCCATGAGGTCATCTTTGCCTTTATTACGGATGAGCATGCCAGAGGGATGCTGCGCTTTGTGAAGCTTTTTACTGAACTCTCCTTTGCTTCATTCCAGGTAGCACTCACAGTGTATGCATGTGCATAAGATACTTTTTAGCTGCTATTTGGGGACCTGCTTTCTCTCCATCCATTGCATGTTCCCTGTTCCTTATATTTTTTTCAGTTTAGCACTGGATGTTACAGGATTATGACAGTGAAAGGGAAAGTATAAGGATTAGTTTTTAATAGCCAACTTAATGTCACATACTCTTATTTTCAGTGTCTTGAATTTACTGCAATAAACTGATATTCCTGTCCATATATTAATATTTACTTTCTATGGTTCACCTCAAGGCAGTAACAAAAGTGTCTGTGACTTCCTGTAATTGTATAATGGCATTGCTGAAAGCAAATTTTGTGCTTTCTCCAGTGTTTTTGATACTCCTTGGAAAATCTGTGCTGTGAGAGGTCTACAGCTGTAACTGCATGTGAAGAGGACGTAGGCTTATTGTGACTTTTATTTAACTGTTTCCTTAGGTAAAGGCTATTTTGAAAGTCTCGTTGTTTAAGGAAATCATTATTCCTTTAGTTTCCCTGCACACTCACTAAAACCCTGTTTATCAAGCACAGAGATGTATTTAAGACCTCTGTGAATTGCTCACTTATGAAGTGTTTATAGCTTGAAACCAGGTAAGGAAAAAGAAGGAGAAAGGAATCATTTAACAAAAATAACAGGTTGAAAAAAACAGTAACTCATTTTTCCTAAGATGATGTGCTTTGAGACATAGTTTGGTCAAACCTCTCCTCTGCCATCAGAGCTGATAAGGGCCAAAGATTGTCTCCACCTTTCAGTCTTACCATGGACATGCCAATGTGGAGCCTCTAGACTTCTGCTGTTTTGTTTGGCAAAGCAAGGAAACTGCTCTGCTGACTGTTCTTCTGGTTTTTGTTGATTTCAGGGGCTGATGGTTGCAATTCTTTACTGTTTCATCAATAATGAGGTAAGAGAGACACCATTTGTTCCAATTTGCCTTATCAGCATACAGTGTAGGAAAGGAAAATTGAAAATGGTCTTGAACTGCTATATTGTCCTTTTTTCAGAAGTTTCACTTTTTTTTACAGATCCCTCCCTGTACAGCTGCACAGGATAACTCAAGAGACAAATGTCGTTGGAAGGAATTCAGGCAGTATAATTTAGGGTTCCTATTTGTAGATGTGGAATCTCACAAATTGTCTTGCGTACAGTTGTACAGTTTGGACTGCTGGAATCCTTTTTAAAAGAATTATAGGTGCTCTTCTAATCTGTCTCATAGTGCTTCTTATTTCCTTGTTTTGGTGAATGTGGGAGTGGAGCCCTTTTTATTCTGTGAACTCAACTCCACTGACTGTTGAAGCTGGAGAATCCTCATGGCTTTTGCTGTATAGTTTGCTTTCATTTGGTTCCCCTGTGGCCCAGCTCTTGAAGACATTATCACTCTCTCATTAAGAAACTGAACTTCACAGTGTGGTGAGCTCTCCCACAGGCCCAGAAGAAATGTGTCTGGCTTTGAGTAATTGATTGCAAACACCATCTCCTGTGGATTCTGCTGAATCCCAGCCTTGCTGGGTGAGAGGATATAATTCTGTTTCCATATTGCAGGAATCCCTCATGTTACCTTCCAAGTGATTATTACAATTCATTCATTCATTCATCAACCAGATTTGCAAGGGAAGCAAACACTACCCATTCATCAGTACCTTATTAAATTAAATGCACATTAATGTGTTTTACACTCACACTAAATCTACTTCTTACCATGGTAATTCAAGATCACCTATTAAGAGACAGGCCTCATCAAGGAATTGGAATTGGTGGAAAAGTACACTACTTGTGTCATTATGGCCAGGCTGGAGTCAACAGAAAAGCAGCAGGCATCCTGCACTAAGCCTTGCAGGAGAATGTTTACTTTTTTAGCTTGTGGATAAGATTTTGTCTAAGTGAATCTGTTTATTATACTGCTTATGAAACTCAAAGGTAGGTATCAGCAGGCTTTACTCAAGCATGAATTAGAGAATATATGTTTCAAATTTCTTGTACAGCTTTACAGGTGTACTTTAATCGTGACATGCAGCACCGTCTGCTGGTGCATTGTGTATTTCTTTTGATGCACTTTGGCATTTGCTCATACATCCCCTGTGCAGCTGTAGCCAGGCCTCTCCTGAGTAATGTCTAATAATTTCCTACACATGATATGACGGCAAAGTTACATCATAGCCCAGACTCTATTACAAACCTGAAACAGGTAGGCTTGTTTCATTTGAGGGAGCTTACCTGTGTTTCTAAGAGATCCTTCAAATCTCTTGTTACTATAATTCTCTTGCCTGTGTAATACAGTTCCTAAAATCTAACCACAGTGTGCTCAGCTGCACTGACAATCTAGGATGAATTATTCTGTTTGTTCTAGCTCTTGTTAAAAGAAGGGAGTAGGGTTTTGTCAAGTCCACTCATCAGCATCCATAAGATAAATCCATGTAAAGAGTTTGATTAAATAAAGTCTCTTCTATTTCTTTTCTATATGAGAATTTTTTTCCTAAACTAAATGAGAAACTGTTTGTCTTCTGACACACTATATGTGTCCAAAGAATATCCTTGTTTGCAATGTGGTCTATATTTTATTTTTTATCTATCTCTGACTCATTGACTCCTTTTTCCTTAACCATGCAGAATGAAAGTTCTTTGCAAGTCCTGGCGTCCAGATCAAGAGTAGAAATTTAGCTAGAAGTGATATTGTTCTCCTTTTCTAGTATCTACTTCTGGAAAAACACTAGAATATGTTCATATTTAAGTCTTATTTCACCTGAAAGATTCTGGATTTTCTCTGAACTTGTTCTGAAGCAAACGACAGGGTCTCATGAGATTGCCTGTTACCACGGATGTTCTTTGCAAAATGAGATAGGGTTAATGTGACCAGTTTTTCTGCAGTTAATACAGCTTTCTGTAAGAAGTATTTTAAACCACGGACATGCTTCCTTTTTCCACCAGTTAGTTTAAGATGATTCTTTTTCTTGTAATTTCTTTTCATTCTCCATACAGACAACTCATTAAACTCTTCCATCAGGTCCATTCCATCCCATTTCAGACCTAGTTTCCTTTTACTATGATTTGTTGAGATTTTTTTTTTACCAGAATTTAACTTTTTTGTAATCAGATTCCACATTCATTGCCACACTCTCAACATCCTTCCCCATTAGCTGCATTAAGCTTAATCGACTGGTCTCTGTGAGAAGTCTTCTCCACCTCTAACCTTCCATCACCGTTTTTTTCAAATTCTCCTACCTCTTCCCTTTCAAAATACTCTACATAAATATTTTTCTTCTTCCCCCTTCTCGTGTGTCATGGTTTAACCCCAGCAACTAAGCCCATGTAGCCACTTGCTCACTCCCCCTTGGTGGGATGGGGAAGAGAATTGAAAGAGTAAAAGCGAGAAAACACATGGGTTGAGATAAAGACAGTTTAACAGGTAAAGTAAAAGTTGTGCATGCAACTAAAGCAAAACATGGAATTCATTCAGTGCTTCCCATTGTCAGGCAGTTGTCCTCCCAACTTCTTGTGCATGCCCAGCCTACATGATGTCTGGGATGGTGGGATGGGTGGGATGAGAAGCAGAAAATGCCTTGGCACTGTGTAAGCATTTCTCAGCAAAAAAAAAAAAAAAAAATTCTGTATTATCAACACCATTTTCATCACAAATCCAAAACACAGCCCCATACTAGCTACTTTGAGGAAAATTAACTCTACCCAGACAAAATTGGTATGTCATGGGAGCTTTGTTCTTGGTTTCCTTTTCCCTGTAGAGCTTATCTCTGGGAAATCTTACTGATACATGGAAGTTACTAGGATAATTATTTTGCTGAAAGAGCTGTAGGTCTTCTGTGTTGGAGAACTGCCTTTTTGCAAAATAAATCTTGAGCTGTTCCCTTGGTTATGCATTCACATCCGTCTAGGCAAAAGCTCTATTCAGTGCAGACAGCAGAGCTGCTCCCTACCCTTTTCCTAACCTTTGGAGGGAAAATTGATATTCTGTCATACAGAACCATTCCTAAGATAGATCCTCTCCCACAGTCTTTTGTTCAGGTCTTCCATTCACTTTATCTCAATCTTGCAGGCTATTTGTATCATAGCTCTAGCCTGTTATGTGCAGCCAGAGGAAGGACTCATTTCCTCCCTTTGACTGACTTGAAGGTATCTATTTCTATTGCTCATTGACTTATTCTGTCAGTCAGTACATTCATGCTTTTGTTCAGGGTTTGCCTGTAAATCTCTACAACAGCTTTTTCCCAGTGCTGTCTGTTGTTTTCCATGCCTGCAAAAGGTGCCAAGGGGTGGTAATATGGTCAATTCTTCTCCTGCAGACAGTATGGTTCCTGCATTTCTGTCTTTATCTGGCTGTTCTCCCTCACTCTTCAATGCCACGCTGTCCCAGACACACCATCTTTCTCTGGTGTCTTTGTGCACCTTTTAACACAACAACTCCCCCTTACCGTGGCACAACACAAGCTTCTGTCTTAGCATCTTCTCTTCTGACCCATTTGTTTGTGATACCAGAGGGACAGAATCTATTGACAGAAACACAGAGATGCAGCTGGTTCCCATCAGGACAATATTCAATAGAAGGGCTGTACCCCAGAGCTGATAAGCAGTGCTAGAGGTACCCAACAAGGGAAGACAATTAGTTATATAAGGCTTTGCTCCTTTTTTTTTTTTTTTAGGGCTGCCTCTCAGATTCACTATTTCACAGGGAACAAGCAGAGGAGACAGACAGAGAGCAGCTGGTTCCCTAGGAAGTTTCCTACAGACTATGAAGGTTTCAGCAGCCCCAGGAATGATGACAAGTCTATGCTGAAACTGCCATCAACTTATTTAATCTCTTGGTGGTCAGTACTAGATCCTAAAAGGAAACAGAAAGCATCTCTCCATAGAAGGCTCACTTGAGTGACCCACCTGTAGTGAACTTATTTCCAGGCTGAAGTACACATCATAATTAATTGATTACTGTAGTTGCACTCCTGCCTTCCTATCTAGAGTACCAAGTGTTCAATTTTCTGTCCTCTGCCTTACGTGTTAAAAGCTAATGGAGATTCTTACTTTGGTCAAGTGGCAAGAACTTTGCCCATGGAACTGGAAGATATAAATTCTGTTCTTGTGTAGCAGTGAAAAGACCCTGGAAAAACTTCCAAATGAGTGCAGAGGTTACACAGTTTAACCCAGAACCTGTGACTACATCAGTATATTTTGTAGCTTTAAAAAAAAGCTAGTATCTGGAACAAGATACTAGAATTACTATTTAAACTGGAGCAAGTACAGCCTTCAATCTGTTTAATTGTTGTTTTGAAATCTGAATAAATCTTCATTTTTGTATGGAATAAAAAAACACATAAAAATTCAAAGAACGAAAATAATCCAGAACATAGTAATGTTTAAATCAAACCAGAAGTTAGAACGGAACTCGTAAGAATGCCTGTGGTGACAGTATTGAGCAGGAAGCCAATCTTTTCAGACATTTCATGGCTGATAAGCAAAATCAACTTAATTGTTAGTATTGCTAGAGCGCAGAGTACAATCAGTATTGCAGGTGAATACAATTTAGAGTAAAATAATGAAGGTAAGATTTTCTGGTGCATAAAAGAGCTTTATTTCTACAAGTAAACAAGAATGTCATTATTTTAAATGTGAAATACTCTTCAATAGACTAATGAGATAATTGGATAATTTGAAGCAATAATATTGCGGGTTTTAAAGCATATTCAGCTTTACTCAGTAGTGTGGTATCTTTCTTTTCCCCTTTTTTCCCTTGCTCTTTTCTAATGCAAATGGAGTCATTTAAAGAGCTGATGAGTTCTACATTCATTCCTTTTGTTTTCTTCTTTGCTTCTGTTAGGTTCAGATGGAATTTCGGAAAAGCTGGGAGCGCTGGAGATTAGAACATCTGTATGTCCAGAGAGACAGCAGTATGAAACCTCTGAAGTGTCCAGCCAACAGCATCAGTAGCGGAGGCACGGTAGGCAGTAGCGTCTATGCTGCCACTTGTCAGGCCACGTTCAGCTGAGATTTCTGCAGGTGAATCAGACTGAGAACAATGAACTGTATAATATACCTGAAAACCTTTAAATACCCCAGCAAGTGGCTTAAGTATGCCATCTCCAGCAAGAAACTTAAGCATATGATGCTCATTGCCTGCAGCCTGTTGGACAAAGGTTTCTAGGGAAAGCAATCTGCTAATGTAATCATTAGCATCATCAGAGGAAAACATTGATCACGTCTAAAGTAAGTTAAAGAGTTTCTTCCTATTTGCACACAAGGCCTCCAGGTGTCCAAAACTTAAGCATAGCATTGATCCAGTCTGAAACCACGGGGTCAATGGCTTATTACTGTTGAGTAGGCGAGCTGAGTGATTGACTGATTAAATTACAACGATGCAGAATATGATTATTGCCAAAAAATACATTTAGACTTCTATGGGGACAGGGTAAGGTGCTATCACCATTTATAGAAAAAAAATAGTGGGACACAACTCACATTTCAGGGAAGAACCAGTTTTGTAGTAGGAGTTTCCCAAAGTTAAAGTTGAAAAAAATACGTTAACCTGTTTTCTGTGTAGGTGAAGGACAGCATCCTGAAGGTTTATCGATTTACAGCAGGTAGTTTGGTGAACACTTGAACACTTCTGAATGCTCTTTTTAAGCTTCACTTGCAAAAAAAAAACAAAAACAAAAACAAACAAAAAAAAAAACCCAACAAAAACAACAAATGAACCAAACAAACAAAAAAAACAACCACCAAAGCCAGTATCTGTTAAGGGCCTCATCTGCTAGAATTACAGAATTAGGTACACATTGTCTCTGCTGACTTGGATGAAAGTGTCCCCTAAATGCACAGCACTTCCATAATAAGTGGTACTCTCCTTCTTTGGTGGGCACGCAGGGATGGGATAATGACTTCTGCTTCAAGAGAATATTTTCTGTCTAAGCTTTACTCTGCTTCATATGGGTGCAAGCACACAGCAGTCAGCTGGTGGCCACTGCTGGTCTTAGCAGACCTCATGTCATTGAAAAGGTTCACTAGCTGGCATTGTGGGCTCACTTTTGTTTCTCCTCCAGCGTTGGTCCGTTTCTCCAGACACGAGGTACCTGCACTCAGGGGCGGGAAGGCAGCTCTTGCACTGGGGTTCGGGTTCAGAACCGAGGACAGCTCCCACCCGGGGTGGGCCGCCATCCTCCTCCAGAATCTGCCTGCTTCCCTTGAGTGGGATTCAAAACAAAACAAAACAAAAACAAACCAAAAAAAACACCAAAACAAAACAAACCCCACAAAACAAAAACAAAACAAAAAAACCACAACCAAACCCCACTATCCTCTATCCAGAACTCCACGTGCTTTTGTGAGATTAAAACAGAGGGCTCCTGCAGTGACTGCATTTGCACTGCCTAGTGTTCCCCTCCCCGATGTTTACAAGAGTTGCTGGGGAAAAACAGAGGTACCTTTACAAGCAGGAGGTGATCCATTGCATCACTCAATAACAAGCGTTACACATCTTTACTCAGCTGTTATTCGGGCTCCCTTTACAACAGAGAGGCCAAAGGCCAAAGACTAGCCCTGAGATTTCCCTGTTCAGAGACTGTTTAGTAAGTAACTTCCATGGCATAGCAGTTAAGAAATACTTAGAAATAACACACCACCACCGCTACTGCCCCCCCTCCCCCCCAGCCCCCAGTTTTCAAGTCTCTTTGCACTTGCATTCACAGCCCCCATTACCAAGAAAATGGACTGGATATTCTGGGATGTAATTTAGCATTTTTTCTGCCTGAAGCTAGATTGCTTTGCATGGGGTTATTTAATCATTGTGTTAGAATCCGAATTGCCAACAGCGTGGATTAGTTTTGCAATCACCAGGTTAGAATTGAATTAAGAGAGGATGTGTTACCTTCTTCTGCTATAATACTTGTAATTGAGCTCCAGGGAGAAAGTCAGACATGTTTGTAGAAATCCACCACAGTTCTCAGGCTGGCTTATATATGTTTAGCATGCTGGCTTCTATGTGGGCCATTTCCAGGCCTTCCCTCCCTAACATCAGTTGCAGAGCTAACTTTGGAATGAAGCACCTCAGGTTCTTCTGTAAATTTAATAACTAGCTTCTGTGTTGTGTGACCATCAATACAATACTTGACTACCACATGCAGGTGTTAACTGGTATCCTAAAATATAATTAATTAGCTTCATATACGTAGAGAGTATGCTTGATGTTTTTATCTACCATGTACTCTGATGTGCTTTGAATAGGAAAAAAACGATAGTCACTGGTAGGTGAAAAGGCAGCATGATGACAGATGAAATTTGAAGCTGTAGGATAATGCATACTGGAGGGAATAATTTCACTCATTAATATTCAAGAGTGGATACTCGTTTTCCAGGGCCCCACTTAGTTGGGTGCAGACCTGGGAAAAAAAAGTTTCTGCTGCTTGCGCAGCTGTTAGCAAGATGATAATTTTGCTATGACAACAGAAGTTACAGAAGTGTTTTAACTCACTACTATGCTGGGAAAAAAAGTGTATGTAACAAATGAAAGAAGAAAGTCATAGGAATAGAGAGCATTTCCCTGTGTGGTAACAAACCTGCACTTAGTTGCTGTCACAAGATTCTTTCAACAGCTTGACATGCTTTTGAGTTAGTAGGCTCTTCTTGGCCCTCCTAGTCATTTGAGAAGTGAAGTGAGCGCTTTGGGCCCACAATAGCTCCAGCACCAGATGTCAAACTTATCTTGGTAATTTCTGCCTTGTTAAAATACAAGAGAAAAATAAGGTAAAAAAGTGAGATCAAAGGGTTGTGGAGGAACACAAGCAGAGGGTTATGGAGGAATTTTTGTTTCCCTCTCCTACTGAGCTCTCACTTTTTCAAACTTTTTTAAATCCCCCCTAAAAATAACTCAGTGAAAGTTATTGCCACCAAAGCAGAATTACAGTATTCATGTATTTAGAGACAAAGCAAGGCCTCAATGCCAATTTCTCCATCATTCTTTATCTACTTCAGTAAAACCTTTTACAAGCCTTTGTTATTCATGCCGTCTCTATTTCAAAATGTGTAATGTACATTTATTTGGGTAGCATGAAATAAGCAAACCAACACAGAGCACTGGAACAGATTAACTGTGTCAGTTTTTATTTCTTGTGCCTTCCACCTTCATTCTCACTTCTTGTGATAACTTGTTTCATGAAGCATTAAATACAAGAGCCTATAAATCCATCTGGACATAGCGCAACTAGAATTTATAGCAAGTGAAAACTTTATTTCCAGCATTGCTGCTATGAAGTTTTATAATTTCCCAAATCTTACCTTATATTTAATATTTATTTGCATGTATTTCCTTGTTTTAAAAAACACCCACAGAATCGAACTGTACAGGATGTCAGATTATCAACTCCCCATAAACACTACGCTGATGTTTATTTTTATTGTTGTGAATAAAGTTTCAACTCACAAAATTTCATTGTTTACAGGTGTTTTGAGTATCATCTGACTACTTCTTGACCTATAATTAGAATAGTTTTTAAGAATGGAAAGGTTCACAGTTCATGGTTCTTCTGAGGAGACAAAGATTTATATTTGCTAATCTGTGTCCACTACAGCTTGCAGAGCCTATGGTAATCAAAACCAAAATGCAGCATCATTAGCGAGGTTCTGCAGGGCTCCATCTTAGGCCCTGTGCTCTTCAGCCTCTTCATAAATGACTTGGACACAGGACTGGAAGGGACATTAAGCAAGTTTGCAGATGTCACAAAACTGGAGGAGTTGTTTACTCCCTTGAAGGCAGGGAGGCCCTGCAGAGAGGCCTTAACAAATTAGAGGGCTGGGCAATTACGAACCATGTGAAGTTCAAAAAGGGGAAGTGCTGGATCCTGTACCTGGGATGGGGCAACCGTGGATGTACAGAGAGACTGGGGAATGAGATGCTGGAAAGCAGTGGCAAGGAAAGGGACCTGGGGGTCCTGGTCAATGGCACGTTGAATCTGAGTCAGCAGTGCCCTGGCAGCCAGGAGGGCCAACTGTGTCCTGGGGGGCATCAGGCAAAGCATCGCCAGCCAGGTGAGGGAAGGGATTGTCCTGCTCTGCTCTGCACTGGGGCAACCTCACCTTGAATATTGTGTGCAGTTTTGGGCATTGCAATATAAGAAAGATATTAAGCTGTTAGAGAGTGTCCAGAGGAGGGCAATGAAGATGGTGAAGGCCTTGAGGGTAAGCCGTGTGAGGAGAGGCTGAGGGCACTTGGTCTGCTCAGCCTGGAGACTGAGGGGAGACGTCTTTGCATTCTACAACTTTCTTGTGAGGGAAAGAGGAAGGGCAGGCACTGATCTCTTCTCTGTGGTGACCAGTGACAGGACCTGAGGGAATGGCCTGAAGTTGTGTCAGTGGAGGTTTAGGTTGGATATTAGAAGGAGGTTTTTCACCCAGAGGATGGTTGGGTGCTGGAACAGGCTCCCCAGGGAAGTGGTCACAGCATCAAGGATGGTCCTGTGCCGGGCCAAGAGTTGGACTCTGTGATCCTTGTGGGTCCCTTCCAACTCAGCATACTCTGTGCTTTTGTTATTTGTACAGTCAAAAGGAATCTGTAATAATAATGAGAACTCTGAGGGATATTTACTAGAGGATGGTGGAATATGTGTAAATCACAAACTTCTGTGGTTGGCTTTAAATATCAGCATTTGGAAATTATACAAAGGCCCAAGACAGAAGCTGTGAGAGTGCTGTGGAGAGCTACTGAGAGATGTTTAACTACTGAGAGATGCTTAGCAGTGTTAACATATTACGTGGGCTTTAATCTATTAATCTCTTTCCAGTCCAGTTAAATTGAAAACACCAATTCCTTTTGTTTCCACAACCAGTGATGAAACTTGTGGTAAGTCAAGCCTGTGTTTAACTGTTAAATTAGAAAAGACATAACAAAGCAGGATTTGAAGGACCAATTTGTGGGTTTTCTCAGCTTTGTCCTCAGAGGCACAAGTTCTAGCAGCTGCTCTTCACTATGACTTAATGGTTTCACTGAAACAAAGAATCGTTAAGGCTGGAAAAGACCCTTAAGGTCAAGTCCAGCTGTCCACCTAGCACCACCACAACAATCACCGCTAAAACATGTTCTTAAGTGTTCTCACCTGTTTTCTGAACACTTCAGGGATGGTGACTCTTCCACTTTGCTGGGCAGATTTGGTTTAATGTAATGATCTGTATATTAAGAAGAGTGGTGTATCATAAAAGTACACCAGCCAGGAATAAGTTGGAGGTTTTTTGCTTATGTTACAATTGATGAGAACTAATATGAAGCAAATGGGGACTCTGCATGATAATCAGATGTTTGTGTTAGATCAAAGGCATGAGTGCAAACTGAAACTGCAGACTATTTTAGATACATGGACAGTGCTTCTTCGTGTCTTTTCTTCAGACAGAGGGTTCCAGCCAGCACTGCGAAGAGCAGCGGTTGGACCATTCTGTCAACGTGTAGTCAAAAGCTGCGGCAAAGCTCCTGTGGAGCTGAAATGCGCCAGCTGACACGCTGGCAGCCACAGCTGTGACAAGGCCGTGCCTCTCGGGGCCGCCCGACAGCGGCCGCAGCAGCTGCCCGGCCCCCAGGAAACCAGACTAGAGCGCGGCCTTTGCTACGGCTTTATTCGGGACCGGGGGGCGGCGGGGGGCTCGGGGCCAGCAGTAAGGCTCGGAAGGCGTTTTGCATAGAGACAACCCCCGTCTCCTCCCCGGCCGGCCCTTCCTCGGGTCCGTGGGGCGGCGGTGGGGCCGGCCCAGCACTGCGGCTGTCCCCGCCGGGCCGGCCGCTACCTGCCCGCGGCGGGCCGGTAGTGCAGCTCCCGCTCCAGCTGCTCGGCCGTCAGCGTCCCGGCGATGGCGGCGCAGCCGGGGTTGAACACGGAGTAGGCGCTGAGCTCGCCGGGCCGCCGCTCGGCGGGGCCGCGGGTGCCGGCGTACATCCAGTAGAGCAGGGAGAGGACGAAGTAGGGCAGCCCCAGCTCCAGCTCGGCGAACAGCGCCAGCAGCACGGCCCAGAGAAGCACCTTCAGCAGCAGCGGGCGCGCCCACACCGGAGCCGTCGGGGCGGGACAGACCTGCGGAGACGGCAGCGAGACGCGGCGTCAGGCACCGACCGGCCACCGCACCCCCGCCCCGCCCGCCTCGGCGCTCACCTGAGCGGCATCGCCGCCCGGGCCCACCGCGGCCCGCGGTCCCTCGGCGGGCTCTGGAGCCGCGGATACTCCCGGCGGGTCCGCGGGGCGCGGAGCGGCCGCAGCGTTACCGCGGGCTGCACGGAACTGAGCCAGGCGCCGCTCCACGGCCGCCGACATCGCCCAACCGCGCCTGCGCCAGGGCCGTGACGGGTCCGTGAGGAGGCGGGGCCGGTGGAAACAGAAAAAAACGGGGAAGGAGGAGGGCTGGATCAGCACCGTGGGGAGTCGTAGGTGGGGGCTGCACCTCACCTCGCTGCCCTGTATGGATAGTAAAGCTGGCCCACTGGCCTGGAGAAAAGCTGTATTTCACCAGGGATCTCCTCTTGTGTTTTGTTTTCACAGAATCAGTCAGGTTGGAAGAGACCTTGAGTCCAACCTATGATCGAACACCACCATGTCAATTAAACCATGGCACTAAGTGCCATGGCCAGCCTTTCCTTAAGCACCTTCAGGGTCGTTTACTCCACCACCTCCCTGGGCAGTCCGTTCCAATATCTAATCACCCTTTTTTGTGAATGAATTCCTTCTAATGTCCAATCTGAACCTTCCCTGGCGCAGCTTGGGGCTGTGTCCTCTTGTCCTTTCACTAACAGCCTGGGAGAAGAGGCCGACTCCCACCTGGCTACAGCCTCCTTTCAGAGAGTTGTAGAGAGTGATAAGGTCTCCTCTGAGCCTCCTCTTCTCCTGGCTACCTGAGAGGAGGTTGTAGCCAGGTGGGGGTCGGTCTCTTCTCCCAGGCAATCAGCAGCAGGACAAGAGGGTGCGGGCTTAAGCTCTGCCAGGGGAGGTTTAGGTTGGATATCAGAAAGAAGTTCTTTACAGAGAGAGTGATCAGGCATTGGAATAGCCTGCCCGGAGAGGTGGTGGATTCACCGTCCCTGGAGGTTTTTAAGATGAGGCTGGATGTGGCACTGAGTGCCATGATCTAGAAATCACAGTGGGGTTGGATCAAGGGTTGGACTTGATGATCTCGGAGGTCTTTTCCAACCCAGTTAATTCTGTGATTCTATGATTTGCATTGGGTATTCGAGCAGACATTTTAGAAGAGTGTTGAGCAGCCTGGGCAGGGGCAGTGTGAAGGAGGAGGAGGAGGGCGCTGCTGTGACCATGGCCACTCACCATGGGATGTGAGGAGCCAGGGCTCTCCCTGTACTACCTGCTGCTGGCTGTGCAGTGAGTGTGTGGTGAGCTCCCTCCAACACAGGCCCACAGGCCTTGCCAGCATCCATCTTGCCCTCTCTTTAAATAAAAAACTATGATGGTGAAAACCAGCTCTATCACATCATGTTTCAGCTATCAGCTTTGTCAAGAAATAAAAATTTATTTACAGGATCTGTCTCTTAGCCTCAGGAGTAAAATATTCATCACTCTCCAGCAGTAATAGTCGGCAATGAGACATCATTTCATCCTGCAGTGCTGTTTCCAGTTACTTATAGCCTTCTCAGAAGTGACCTTTGGGGCTGAATGTCTCATGCATGTGTCAGCTCAGAAGTGATTATGAGAAGCCTAATAAAAATCAATTTGGGTGTTCTTAAGTTATCTTAATGTGGAAAAAATTGTGTTTTTTCCCAGCTAAATCATTTTTCAAATGCCTGTTTTATGCTCAGTTACAAAATTATTTTCTTTTAACCTTCCGACTTTACAAAAAGTGCCACAATGAATGACATTTTTCTCTTTATTTGTGGAAATTTGATTTTGAAATAACTGTCAAAAATGTTTTAATATATCCTGCGCAGGGCATCATTTTGTTTTGATGGTTTTTTCTACCTCTTGTTCTAGTGTTCATTGAAATAGCTCCTTGTTCTGTACACATCATTAGTCAAACTAGTAGTTATACCTGAGCTTAATCCCTTCTTTGCAGGCTGCACCAAGTGATTCCCATGCTGTCAGATTGGATTCAAAATTTACTGTGTTTACTATATGTTTGCTATTATACATCCAAATAGCTATTTTATGGCTTTGCCGAGCTACCTGTATTGTCATGTATTGTTAGGAAACACGTAGAACAGTGCCATGAATCAGGCCTTTGAGGCCTAAGAGCACTCCAGTAAACTCGTCTGTAAATGAGTGTTACACTGCAGACAAATACCTATACAAATTTGTACCCATAAAGTTTTAAGTTACTTCAATATATCTTGTTTTAAACAAATAGCTTAATTGAATAGACAGTTTTGTTTGTTTGTTTAACAAACCATATGGGCAATTTGTTCCCTACTCCAATGCCTACAAAGGTCTTTGGCAGTTCACCAGTCCTAATCTTGGGATCCTCAGCCTGTGAGTGGGAGTGCAGAGGGGACATGGAAAGGCTGAAGAACACTTCTGTGGGACTCGAATCACTTCATGCCTTTCTCACTATGTATGAGAAAAACAAATTGAATACGGTGGGTCTGTAGGTGTGAGTCTATGAGCCAAGTGTTTCTCCCCTTTGATGCAGCCACTGATTAATTGATAAATCTCTAAATCTGCGTTCTTGATAACAGAAGTCCTAAAACTGCCCATCAGTTTTAGGAAGCAGCATTAAGATCACTTTAAAAACTTAGGATTTCTTTTTTAATTTGTTTCATACTAAATTATACTACATAGAAGTTCTCATGCATATTTCTCTCAGCCAAGAAGAAAACCTTTGTTCTTTATAAATTTCCACTTCAGCAATTTTGAAACTTTTTCCTTTATCCCAGCTATCAACTTTTCATTACATTTTAGTATTTATGATACAGGGGGATTATTGCATTCTGCTCTCAGCCAGTTATCACCAGCTTAGGGACTAATGTTCCAAACCATTAGGAACTTTGTCTATCACACTCTATCAGCAAGTGAACTGAAGGAGGTGAAGAGGCTGCTGAAAGAATTGACAAAACAAGAAAGCTGTCAAAGCCATGCCCAAAGTGCATGGCTTTGGGGCGATGACTGCAGAGTTTTTCTTAATTATTTTTCAAGTATCTCTGCTCTTTCATGCCCCTTAAAGAAGAGAACTGAAACTAATTCACTGAGGTATTTTTACATGGCAAGTGGCATTAGAACTATTTGTGGCAAAATATCAACTCTGCTGAGTTAACCTAAGCACTGATAGCAACACTGAGATCCTGTGGCACCCTTTGCATGTACCACATCAGCAGCCTGTCACCATGTCTTGGTGTCAGCCACCTCTTTATTCAATAGTACAGGCTCAGAGCCTTTCTCTGTGTTTTGGAGTGTTGTTGCTTACTTCCTTCAGCTGCAGATACCTGTTTGTGTATGCCAGATTTTTCAGTAATCAAGTCACATTAATTCTCTTGATGGATTAATCTAATTCATTGTCAGGAGCTCTCTTCTTCGTGAGAAAAGCGTTCACTCTTGCACTGACTTGCTAAGTGCCATAAATGCAGACAGAAGGGCAACCCATTATTAATATAACGACCTAGCTTAATTAGTTCAATGGAGCTGAGGGAACATTAGCTCTAGTTGTTGAGGTCTTGCAGAACATGTATAAAATAGATTGAAGTGCACAGACTCATATTTGTCTAATTCCACAAAAAGCTTCCTGCATATCCATTTACTAATCAGTTCTAAACTACAGAGAAGAGCTGCTTCCTTTGTAAAAAATGGTCATTCGTTTTCCTTTGTAAAATAGCAGCATTAGGGTACCTTGCCATTAGACGGAAGGAAATTTTTTATTTTATTCTTTTATTGAACTACTTTAGGTTCTGAATTGCAAGTTTTCATGTCTGTGTGGTTTTGAAACATGTACATTTGTATATTCAGCAGTGCATACTAAAAGTTTCTGAGACACTAGCACTTATGTTACTGCTTTATATATTGAAATACTCTATATTTAAGCACGTTTAAAATTGGGCAATGCAGAGTTATTAATGTTTCTGTCACAATTCTGAAATGTTCCTTACCATTTCATGGGAAACTTCCATTTGAGGAAAAGAACAGAGTGAAAATCCCTCACTAGTGCAATGCTAGCTGTAAATGTCAGATACTTAGTGAAATCATTGTAACAGAAAAGGGAAATGAGCTATTTTATTGCATGTAGAAGATAACACCCAATGAGCACTCTGGGTGGGATTGTTTTGCTGTATTCATAACTTTGACCTGATTCCAAAGTCAAGGTTTTGAAAAACTGTTCTAAAATTTCAGAATTTCAGAATATTGCCTTTTGATTTTTATCATATAGCTAGTGTGGGAAAAGAGGCATTTGCCACTTGGTATTCCTTATAACTTAAGGGAAAGGAAACCTGGTTTGTGTCTCCTGTCAGTCAATGTCATATTGGGTTTAATCAGTCTACTCTTCTCAAAAATTTTTTTTTGAAAAATCATTTGTTAATTAATTATCAAAGTACTTTTGTGAAAGTATTTTCTGGAAATACAGAAGGCTCTTTGGGCTTGGAATGAATATTTTTTTTTCTAGGTTTGTGTAGCACTTAACCCCAACATTCTAGAACTAGATGCTGTAATAGTATTTCTCCAGACAGGAAAAAGGAAGTAAACAGAATGTCAGAGAAGATCCTAAACCCTGTTGTAGATCTCAGTTCTAGTTCCACGTCTATTTCCTTCAAATCCATTGGAGTTTAAAATATAGAAAATTCTATATGCTGTAAGTTGAATAAAGAGTGAGGAAGACAGAAGGGGACTACATTATCTCCTTACACACATACACACTCAGTCTTCAGAAGTCTTTCATTAAGTGTGCACTGTAAGCCTTAATGCTCACATTGGCTGCCAGTTTTATACAGCCATTTCCACAAAAACACAAAGGGCATCACAACACTGACTACTTAATTTTTAGAGGGGCAGAACGCCCAGAAAGGTGTTGCAGCAACCTTTTCTCATGCCTTCAAGCCTCTGCCCTATATGATCGGGCAAATCGTTGTCTAGAAACACTGAGCTATCATTGCAGCTGGCAGTGCACATTCCAGCCAGCTGGTTGGAACCTCAGGCTCTTGCTGATAAATGTAATTTTCTTATAAACAGTTCAAATAAGGGTGAGACTTCATCTGTGCCCCTGAGATAGGTATACCAGGCATAAGGGCTATTTCTTAATTCCCACAAATTATTCAGCAGACTACAACATGAATGAGGGAGAGACATCATGGCATTCCTGTTCCTCCTTGGCTGTACATGAAAGAAATTAGTTTACCT